CGTCCCTGTGCCAGACACAGGACTTCCTCTGGTCCTGCCTGTTTAAAATGTGAATGTCCACCTCTCCTCCCTCATTCCAGTACCGTCAGGGAAGTTTCATGCTTCTCGGCACACTGTGTTCTTGTTGGCCTTTAATACCTTCTTTATAAGCATGCCTGATCTTCTGGATTGTTCTGTAATTGGAAACCAGCCTCACTGGGCAAAATGCGTGTCTTAAGCTCCTCATGGTGCCCCGCCAGACTAATTAAACTACAGAAATATAAAAGCAACCAGGTGGGAGCATTTGCAGAGTGATTGGCTGTTAATAATCTGCATAGTTAAAGAGATTTTGTCACTCAGACTTAACTGCTTAGATATGTTGATTTTTATCAAGGGGAAGAAAAAATTTAAGGAAAATTTTCCATATCCCATGACTCCAATCTGTTATTGGCTGAGACCCTAAGGCTACTCCAGGGTTAGAGAATTTGTTTATAACCACAGTTCCCGGAAAGTGAAGAGAAATACCATTTCTGCCCTCCCCCACTTTTCTATAAACCAACGGAAAGCAATACGGAGAACAGGCGTCAGGATAAAGCAAATTCACCTCTTCCCTGAAATTAGGAAATGCTCCTATCTGGAACCATAATACTGTGTTTGAAAAAGCCTTTCAGATAAGGAAAGGCTACCGTTTTGAAGACAGACATAGAGAGAAGGCTGAGCGCTTTGAATTGCATGGGCAAACTGGACAGAGTGCAGAATTCTCCTGAGGAGATGTCACAACCCTGGCCTGAAGCAAGGTTGGGAGCACAGACCAAGAGCGACATGCTGTCAGCACGGAGTGGCCTCAGACAGCAGCTGAGGAAACACAGAAAACAGACTGATTCGCTATCTTTGCTGACTGTGGGTGAGTGGAAGGAGGAGAAACCTGGGGAGAAGCAGCCCTTCACCTTCTATGTCTGCTAAAGAGGAGTGAAACATCACTATGCACCAAAAGCTCCATCACGTGGTTTCACTGGGAGGAGGGAAACACCCAGCCAACTGTGCACCACCCATTGTATTCACAGGGTGTTGACGAGAAGGCTTCTGGGGACAGCAAGCTCCAAGGGCTTACCCGCTCTCTTGCCTGGCACTCAGCCTTACTATCCTGTCTCAAAATGGAGTTCAGAAATAACAGTCTCTTTCTTGGCTCATAGATAGACAGTATTAGGAAGGAATCGGCATGGGACCTATGTGAACACGTTGCATTTACAAAAAGAAACATCAGCCGGGCTCGGTGGCTCAGCCTGTAATCCTGTGCCTTTGGGAGGCTGAGGTGAGT